CCAGGATTCTCTCATCGTTACTGTTGAGGTAGTAATCGCCCCAGGTTCTCTCATCGTCCCGATGAGGTAGTAACCAACCCTGATTCATTCATCACCATGTGAAGCTCCAGACCTGATTCCTGTAACCAACCAGGGTGCGTCTATATAAAGAGTCTGAAGACCAGCTCCTGTAACAGGCCAGGTAACCATTTTCTTTTTCAGGTACGCAAGTTCTCGCTAAGGAATCTCTTACGCGATCAACACCCAGATGGCATCTATAAGCCCATCCACCTATCCATCACCTCTCAACATGGCATCTGTAAGCCCATCTTCCTATCCACTAATCTCCGAATGGAATCTATAAGCCCATTCCCCACATCACACTGCTAACATGTGAGCACAAATTTCTGGGCACTCTAGTGTTCAATCATCTTCCACCTTCGGATTACGAAAGGCACGTCAGCCAATCTACATCCTCAGGTCTAAGAAGATTGAACAGGGGCAACTGTTGTACCCCAAAATTTTCCCTCCCATATTCTTCAAGATTTGCAAAGAGCATGCTTCAAAAACTCCCAAGAATTGCACAGTCAAAAACCCTAATTGCTCAACAGTCAACTGCAGGGGCAAAATGGTCATTTGACAGTAAAAAGTCCAAATTTTTGGTCAACATATTATTTTGAAGCCACAAACATCATTTGATCAATTCTTGATCATGATTCTCAAGGCATGGCTCAAAAAGTCTCAAGATGCAAAAGTTTCTATATTTGGACAGTGGAAAAAGTCAATTGTAACTTGACCAAGGCATAACTTCCACATGGTTTATCAGAAAAATTCCATACAAAGCTCATTTTGAAGAGAATGACATTTCCTACAACTCCTCTTCACACTTCAAGTCCAAGAAATACTCTCACAAAAAGTTATCAATCTCAACATTATAGGTCATTTTCAAAAGTCAACAAAAAGGCACTTTAAGTCAAAGACCATAACTTGAGATTGTTAAATCAAAATGACATGGGACCAAAGGCATTGGTTAGAGGACTTCAATAACTTTCCAAAATGTCCAAGAACATGATCAAAGATTAAAAATTGAGCAAGATATGCCTTGTGGAAGTTGGGAAATTTTTGGGAATTTTGAAAAGTCAACTTTGCTTCAAATGCCTCAAAATTGCTAATGGGCCTCAAATTCTTCCAAGAATCATCACCCAAAGGCTATGCACGACCCATTGACTTTAAAGGGAGTTATTTTATCATTTTTTATTAATTATTTGAATTATTATTATTAGTTCATTTAATTAAAATAAAATATGACAAAAATAGCAAATCATGTTTTCCAAACCTTTTTGTGCAGCATATCCACTCATCATGACCTCAATATTTCGTGCATCACTAAAAAGGCAAGAATTGGCAATGATTGGCATCAAAAAGGAATGAAAAATATTGAAAAAGATTCATGAAAAATCAAATATTGAAACATTGATTGCAAAGGTTTTTGGACTTGTTTTGTAAACCTAATTCATTCCACATATAAGCCAGAACCAAAACCTAATCACAAGAATAAGAAAGCTGCGCCAGAATCACAAGAAAAAATTGGCATTTTTCATACAAAATTCTCAAAACTGAAAACATACATAGAGCTCCTTTCAAAGCCTACAATCGATTCAAAAGGCTTGCTGGGACTTTGTTGAACGTGTCTCAATACTTTTCAAGGCTCCATACATTCAGAATTGGTAGAATGGCTTTGCCCTGTTCATAAAACTTTTCACATTCGTATCTTAATTTACATGTGTTTTCCATGCATTTGAATGATTGTTTTACACTAACATAATCATGCTGAAGCTTTTGGTGTCTTTTAATTAAACTAACATGGTCTGTATGCAAAGTTACCATGGGAGATGCTTAGGGTTTCAAAGCTCCAAAATTGGGGTTTTACGCATAAGGCAAAATTAGCCCATGAAACCAGGACCATTGGACTCAGGACATTCAGACGAAGCAATCGATCATATCGCGCCCTTTTTCTTTTTCACTATGGCCTATTCGCTATTTTCTGCAGATGGTATTTTGGGGGGGTTTAAAACCCCCGTTATATGTTTATTGTTTTGCAGAAAGGGAAGAAGATGATGGACGTGGCAAGCAGGCATTGGGGTATTTGAATCCACGCGCGCAAATTGTTGTGTTTCAGCATTACTGGTTTTCTTTCCATATAATATTTATTTTGTACGTTATTAACAAACGCGTCAAAATGCTTCAGTGGTGGCTAGCGTGTCTTGTAATCACTGGGACCTGGGTTCGAATCCCAGGTCCCCCAAATAATTTCTATTATTTTGCTTCAAGTGTTTCTATGCAGCATATGACCAGAGGCCCACCATACAACGCATGTACCTTTGCCTGCCATGCGCCCAGGAGGTCAATCCAATGGCCAAGACCTGCAGTCCACCATGCACGCTGTCAAACGCTCCATACACAATTCCAAAAAGTCAATGAAGGCCTGGATAGCAGTGGGCCTGATTGCTTCAAAGACCTCCTCAATTTGGGTCAACACCCCCTTGTTTGCCTTTCCTTTCTCTATTTTTATTCTTTTCTTTTATTTATTTTAATTATATTATTTGTTTTATTTAATTCCATAAAATCAGTTTTATGATATAAAAATACCAAAAAAATCAGAAATCATAAAAATAAAAAATATATTTTATTTAATGTTATTTTGTAAATAAATTTTGTTAACCAATTTAGTTTTAATTTTAGGTTTAATTTTAATGTTTTTTTTAATAAACTAAAAAATGTAGAAATTAGGGTTTTAATACTTTTATTCTTTTTCCTTTTTTACCATTATTAATTATTAATTATTTTTGTAAATAAATATGCCATTTAAATAATTAATGTAAATTAGGTCAAGCTTAAACATTTTCTAATAATTAAAAACAAACTAGAATTAGGTTTTTTTATTTTAATTTTTAATTCAAATTAATTCTCTTTAATTTCATAAATTCAAAAACATAAAAAAAAATAAGTTCTTTTTCTCATTTAATAATTAATTATTTTCAATTTCAACATTTATTTCTTTAAAGGGTCCAACGCCCTCGCACTCGACTCTTATTTCTTTTCGCGCCAATTTATTTTTATTTCTTTTATGAATGTAATGTATTTGCCCCAAAGCCTTGTAATATTTAATTAGGACATTTATTTTCCGCATTTTTCTTTCATTCAAATCGGGTCTTGGTTTAATTTGGCGTTGTAGACCCGCGCCTTGTAATAGCGTAGGACTTTTATTTTTCCGCATTTTAATTCCCGCACCCTTAATTGCTAACTATCACATGAAAGAATGTATGCCCAAATAAAAACAATGCGTAGAACACTCAATGCATGATCAAGACAAAAATAACTGAAAATGACACACAAATCACACACCACTCCTAGGGTACGCCTCGCTGTTGCCTTGCCCCTTGAAACATGGTCGTCGAGTAGAGGACGTTTTAGTAAGTCCTCATGTCCATGAACATGGCATGGGGGTAGCTTCTAAGGTATCCTCCTATTGCTCTGGTGACCATACTTTCCCTAAACCTCGAATTGATCCGAACACCTCCAATGGTGGTGCTACCTACCTCTCAATGGTGGGATGGCACTACTTTAAGGACATTTACACAGACTAATTCCTTAGGGTAGGTAGATGACTCGTAGATACTTGCTCTAATTCAAAACAAATCAAAAACTTCTTTTCACACCGACACTTTGCAAAAAGCTTTTAAAACAACTTTTCAAACACTCTTGAGGACTGATACAAGAGTCGATCTGAAACTTTCAAAGAAACTTCTTCGAACCCACTCACCTTGAAAAGCAAACAAACATTTTGAAAACACAAATGAGCAAGTATCTAAGAGCCCATGGATAACCATGGATAGAAAGGGTGCTAACACCTTCCCTTTCTATAAATTTACCTCCCGAACCGAGAGCTAATCTCAATAAGGAATTTTTCCGTGCTTTTGTCCTTTCTGTATTGGAGAAAATAAAAGACGGTGGCGACTCTTGCTTACCGCGACATTTCGCGAACCAGCGTTAAACAGTCAGTTCCAGATCCACCGATCACACCGTGACTACCAAAAGTAAGCAAATCGTCAAAAGCAGACGAAAGCAATGGAGAAGCAGGGAGTACCCGTCGAGAAATCTTCAGCAGGAAAAAATAAAGTCAGAAACAATATCCAACTAAGATAAAAGAAAACCAGTGTTGCGAATGCAACGCGTAATCAAGAGTTCCTGCACAAAGCATCATAAAATATCACATGCATCGGAACAACATATAATATGATATGAATTTCTCAGGACGATGAGAAATAATGTGTGTTGCATCGGAAGCGAGCATAAGCCACATGCTTCGATCACATAACAACTTGTTATGCTACATGATCGAAAGCACCAAAATGTACCTTGCACAATGAACAAACGCGTCAAATAACTAGGCAGAACGGTACGAAACTATGGATAAAAAACCTAAAAGAAAAAGTATTTTTATTAGTTTTTTATGTGAGGAAAAATTCTATCAAAAACTATAGAATTAATTCCTAAAATAAACTAAAGAGATCTAACAAATTTTATTGATTTTATAATTTTTGTCATAAAAAAATTAAAAGGAAAAATTCTAAATCTAACAAAGAGAAAGGTAGGATCGGGGGTGTGAAACTCATCCAGGGGGTTTTGCAGAAGCAGGGCGCTAGGCCCATTTCAGAATGAAGTCCATAGCCATTTTTGTTGCAAGGCCAAGAGCTTCCAAAAATATACCCAGGCCTTGAAGGTTTCAGCCCTGGATCCAACGGAAACACCAATCCATATCAATTTTTTTATTCAGATTTAATTTTTATCTCAAGTTTTATTATTAAAACAAAAGGAATATAAAAGATAAAAAACTTAGGATGAAACAAAGTGTTTGCAAAGGGATTAGGGTAAATAAAAGGGACTGTTTGACTTCACAGTGAGTACGAAAGCTTCTTCTTCATTATCAAAAGCAATAACAGCGTTTTTCTTCTCCGTCCATGGAATTCTTACGTCAATCTTCATTTTGCCACTGTCTAAAACTCTCTGGATGCAAACTTCTTTTCCGCGTTGTCCTCGACCATTCAAGTTTCTCTCCATCATCGGCCTTATCTTCTTGTGGTAGCTTTACTCATCGCGACGTCTTCACCTCCGCCTCTTAAACCTCTGTCTCCAACTCACCTGATTTACTTCGCCACCTTAGACCAAACGTGACACCACCATTAACATCCTTTACCTATCTGTCTTTGATCCAATACTGTCGTGCATCATTCTCTTTTCTCTCTTTGTCACGAATTCATCACCTTCTCGCTTTAGTTTCTCAATTTTACAGAAAGAACGAAAAGGATAAAGAGATTGAAAAGAAGATCGGCTTACCTACCGGAGAACTCCAGTGGTTCTTTTTCGACAAAGAAAGTGACGAGATGCCGATGCGAATTCCAAGTAATAAACTTGACTTTGTGCCTTCTTGATTACGTGATTTCTCCTATGTTGTGGTTGCACGGTTGAAGATTTGAAGCAGATGAAGACGATGCTGTTACGGTGGAGGATTGAAGAATTGTTTCAGAGAAATGTTGAAGATAATGGAAGAAAGAAGCAGAGAAATGAGAAAATTTTCATATCTTTTTGGTGGTGATTCTTCTGTGAATTCAAGGATCAAGAAATCTCAGTTATATATGAATTTATATTTTGTTAGAATTTTTTCTCTTGAATGAATCCCCCTTTTCTGAATCTGTTACGTTTTTCTGTTATATACCTCTACCAGATGTTTGTTAGAAGCAGTTAGGAGGTTAGCACTGAGTTGGAATTCAGTTAGATGTTAGTTAGAGTGTTGCTTAGAGGTTATTGAGATTTTGTTTTCTATTGAGAAGTTATGTTAGTAGGTTGTTGAAATTATGTTAGAAGTAGAAGTTAGTTATACGGTTTCTATTGCAAGGTAGTTAGCTGGTTTATGATAGTTGAAATTCTGTTAGAGGATTCTGTTATAGGTAGTTGGCATCAGTTAGAAGTTATGAAATTTAATTCTGCATAACTGGCTGTTATTAGGAAGTTGGATGAAATGTATCTTCTGAATTTATTTCTGATTCAATTGTTTTGTAATGATGCCGAGCTGGAAATTCAATCGAGTTTTGTTTTATTTCCATAATGTATCTGTTGTACCATATTTCCTAATCTAGTATTTCCCACGTTTTGCCTTTTTCACTCCTTCAATGATTTTCTGGTTTAATAACCTTTATGTTTCCAAATAATGCATAGCTGGCTTGTTTTTGATATATATTGCACAATAGGTTTTATGCGTAACAGGTTTGGCATTTGGCAATTTTAACAGTAGGATCGATGCAATTTTTGAATGCCAACTGTTTTGGATTACATGTGCAGGGCTATTTCAATTTGGTGATTATGTATGGACAAGGTTTGGATCAAGAATCTTGGAGCTTATACTTGGCGTATTATTGAACTACCTGGGTCAGAAAAGTATGGCAACAAGTATTGGTGAAAGTTGTAACAATGTTTTGGAGCTGAATCAAAGATGTGCCATGAAAGCTTGGAGTTTTGACCTTAGATTTAGACAAACTGATTGATTTTGTGTATTTCTTGTGAAGAATTTATAATGAACTCATGTTGTTTGTAATAAAATTTAATATCTTTTGAAAATAATCAACTTTGTACTTTAACTTGTAATTTACCAAGGATTCAAAATGATTAATGGTGTTTGGATTCATGATGGTTATGGTGTAATGAACATGGTACATGATAATTGAAGCGGAAATGAACTTGAATCATTTTTTAATGAAGTCAAAGGATGAATTAGTTTGATTTTGATATTTTTGTTTATTGAATTCTAAATTAACTCCATTTGAATGAATCACGTCTTGAATCACAACTTGAGTATTGTCGAATGAATTTTGATGAACTTAGAACCAAAAGCAATGTTGAATGGTATTGAAAGTGATTACTTGAACCATGCCTTGAATGACCTAGGATATGTTGAATCCCTAATGCATTAGCCCTTGTATCCGTGTTTGCTCTCCATAAGAAATGCATTTAAAACCAACTTGCATTCCATTCTTGCATCTCATTAGAAACCCTAATCTCATGAGTGAATTTGCAATGATAATGCCTTAGTTTTTGAGCAACAAGACCTTCAAACAAAGTATCTTGGGTTGTGACATAAACAACCCTAATTGATTGACTGATGAATAGATGAATCCAATGTAACTATAACCTTGACCAAATGATAAGCCCACTCATATGAGGGGATGTATTGATTTTCAAAAACCATGTGTACTAAATCACACCCTTGATTTCTTGATAATAAAACCCTACAACTTGATGAAGGTGAGAACCTTGTAGCTTAATAAGAGAAATAAGTTCTCAATGATCATGAATGCAAGACTCTAGCGTCAAACAAATTACTGATGAACAAACCAGTTGAATCAACATTTGAATGAAGATGAGAGCCTAAAAGTACAAAGAAACCCTAATTCCTCAATATCCTTGGTCCCATGCCAAACCCGGTGGTTAGTGAATGCATGATGTGTTAGATGACCTAATGGATCTTATGCACATGAATATAATGAGATGCATAAGCCATATGATCCTTATAAAGGGGTAGGACAAATTTGGGGTATTACAACTGCCTCTATTTAATCATCTTAAACCTAAAAGTACGGTTGGCATGTGCCTTTCAGACGTTCGAGGTAGAAGATGATTAAATATCAATGCCAAAAATTTGTTCTGGGAGAAAGTGTGGCGAGGTTATTTATTTTTGTGATAACTGTTGGGGAAAGAATTTTTAGTTTTTTGGTGAGAAGACTAAGATTGGACTTGTAACATAGCAACAAAGGATAATACAAGAGAAACGCTGATTTGTAACGTAGAAACAACGCTTAATACAAGGAAAGGTAATGACCTGGTGTGGTGCTGATGCCAATACAAGGAAAGCTAATGACTTGTAACGTGGCAGTGGTGCCAATACAAGGAAAGATAGACTCGTAACATAACAGTAATGCCAATACAAGAAAAAGATTGGTACAAAAGACAGTGGATAAGATCTACGGGAGACCTACGATCCTAATATGAAACATAAGAGCATTTTGTCAGAGAACTAGGCCTATGGGCGACCTCAGGATTTTATGAAGATACCTATGGGCGGTCTGCTAAAGAACTAGGCCTAAGGGCAACCTAATAATTCTAAAACAAGATCTATAGGGAGAACCTAGCCTGAAGGCAATCTCAGGTTCTAAGATGATACATCATCTGCTGGGGAACTAGGACTATGGGTGACCTCAAAAGTCTACAATGAGACATTAAGGAGATCTGTCGCAGAACTAGGCCTATGGGTGACCTCAGTTTTCTAAAACAAGATCTATAGGGAGAAACTAGCCTACGAGCGATCTCAGGTTCTAATATTAAACTCCATCTAATGGAGAACTAGGCCTATGGGCGACCTCATAATTCTACGATGAGACCTTAAGGCGATCTGTCAGAGAACTAGGCCTATGGGCGACCTTAAAATTCTAAAATAAGATTTATAGGGAGAACCTAGCCTACGAGCAATCTCAGGTTCTAAGATAAAACCTCATCTACTGGATAACTAGGCCTATGGGAGATGTTGTACCCAAAAATTTTCACTCCCATTTTCTTCTAGGCATTCTTATAAGATTCTCAAATACTCAAGGATTCTCAAGAGTTGATCAGACAAAGTCACCTCCTAAGCAAGGGTCTTCAACTAGGGTTTGGTGCTTCTCAAAGAATATTGGTTTGCAAAGGTCTCAATTGACTTTCATGGTTCATCATAGGTCCTAAACAATTCTCATGTCAAGTTTCAAGCCTTGCATCCCAAGTTTGCTCAATCAATTGCTCAGATGACTGAAAATCAACTTCATTGGGTAAAAAGTTAACTATGGTCAAACATACAGTCAAACTTCAAGATTTTTTCAAAATCAATATTTTAATGTGATATTCATCATTTTATCAAGGGTTGACCATGATTCCTCAAGGAAAGCCCTCAAATCATCAAAAGAGAAAAACTGCCAAAATTTAGGGTTTTGACTAAAGATGACTGATCATTGACTTTTGGCTTAGTACATGACCTAATGGTTTGAAGCATGATATCAAGGGCTCAAACACAACATATTGACCTAATTACATGGCTAAATACATTTCCAAATATGCAAGTTATTGATAGTTGAAAATTTGAATCAATTAATGAAAAGTCAACAGTCACTCAAAAGTCAAACTTTGACTTTTTGGTCAACATTGGAATCAAAAGTCAAGAATCATCAAGATATTCAAAACTATCAAAATTGATCATCATGAAATAAAAAAGTCAACAAAAGTCAAATTTGGAAAATTTTCTAACACTTAGAAAAATTCTAAGTGTTTTTGTTCTTAACAAAAACCCTAACTTTACAAGCAAGTTTGCTCAAGATGCAAGCTGATTTAAAGAAAACTTTCAACATGAAATTTGTAGGGATTGATGAATTCTACAACTTTGTTAATGAGGGTTTATTTCTAAAAAGTTCTTGGATTAAGAGATATAAGCTCATGAAGTTAGAATATTTTTATCCAACACTTATAAATTTTTTTACATGTTTTGATCAGATTTGTGTCCCAACTTCATGGCTATTTTTCATCAAGTTCCCATTTGATTTAGCCAAAACTCATAAAATGAAAGTTGTAGACAATGTTTCAAGCTTTCCAAAATGTGTAAGAACATAATTTTATCATGCTTGAGCAAAGATAATCGAAGGGATGAAGTTAGGTATCTAAGGTTGCATTATAGGTCATTTTTATAACAAGTTCATAACCCAATCTTCAAGCCATGCTGCATAATCCAATTTTTTAGGCCTCTAACCTCCAAATCTATCCATAATCAAAAGATCATACAAGCTTTTGAGCTATGATCCAAGTGATTAAAGCATTACCCAATCCATTTTGCCATTAAGGGAAGAAAGTTCACACTTCCATTCTTGTAAAGTCACTTTATACACAAAGTCAACTTCTTGAGCCTCTAACTTGTTTGTTCTGATCACACTCAACCTAAAAAACTAAGAGGAATATGTTTAAAGTGTCTAACCACTCTATGAGACAAGGTACAACGCATTGGAACCATGATCTTCAAGTTTGCTTCATAACTACAACCAAGCCATTACATGTGATCTTGCAAACCTGATCAGCTCTTGCCCTCAAACCTCTTGCCTATAAATAGAGGAGGTATTTGAAAGCCAAGACACGAAGATAGAAGTCCTCTAATCATCTCAAACTCTCTCAAATTCATAATTTCTCAAAAAAACTCCATTTGTTGCAAGTTTTTGAAATTTATATGGTTGGATTCGTGATTAAAAGTTAAGCAAGTTTGTTGTTTACATTTTTTGATTTGGTTGAGAAATGAGCATTTTAAAGAATCAACAAGGTGTTGTTGTTGTTACTGGGGCGAGGAAGAAGAAGATGACAAATTCAAATTTTCAAGACTTGGTTTATTTTATATTTAGTGCAAGTGGTATAATGACCAGATGAAACAGCCACCCAAGTGGCAAGCGCACGCGTACAAAGTTACTTCTTACCTCAAGGGTGCGGGTTCAAACCATAGTGAACCCCTCTTTTGTATTTTTTTGATTTATTTCAGTTTTCCTAATTTTCACCCCTCAAATTCCTTTCATCACGCATGCCCCTTCCACTTTTATATTATTTTTCTGATTCAAACAAAAAATATTTCTTTGGCTCGTACGTCTACCAACACCCCCTGATTACTTTGTACAAACACTGACCTATTTACTTTTTTTATTCTTTTAATTTAATTAATCATTTTATTTTCTTTTAACTATTTTTATTTAAAATCAAAAAAATTATAAAATTGTAAAAAATAGACTTAGATTTTAATTAACTAATTTAGTTTTTTTATAAATAAAATTTAAATTAAATCACTTTGTTTTATTAATTAGTTTACAAAATAATTAGAATTAGAATATCTTTTTCTAAATAAAACCTCAAAATTATTTTCTAACAATCAATTTTCTTTTTAAAATAAATTTAGACTTAGGTTTTTAAGTTAGCTTTCCTTTTAATTAATTAAAGTAATTTATTTTATTTTTAATTTAGTTTCTGTAGGTTTTTACTAAACTTTCTTTTTGAAAAATAATCAAAAATTAGGTTAATCATCTAATTCTTTTCTATAAAAAAATCACCAAAAACAATTTCTTCTCTCTTTGCTTTATTTTTTTGTGTATTTCATTATTTCACATTTTTTCCGATTATGTAATTGTTTATGGTCTGTAATAGATAATTGGGGTTTATTGCTTTTCATCCTCATTCATAAATTTGTACCCCCCCCCCATTTTCGAAGCGTTGTAATAGCGTATGACATTTAATTTCCATAATTTACCGCTTTCCTTATTACTGTTAGTTTAACAGAATTGTATGGCAAGATTAAAATCAATCATTAGAAAACCTAATCTCAAAGAAAAATACTTGAAATAAAAACACTTCGCACACACGCATCTCTAGGGTAACCTCACATGTTGCCTCATATTTAAACATTCATGTCCATCGAATGTGGAATGCTTTAGCAAAGACCCTC